TGTGTCTAATTTGCATCCCTTTTATGAAAAAGGGATGCAGTCTAGACACAACCAGAGTGTTTCCAGGGGCTTTAAATGTGATGCAGGCTCCAATCAGTGTGGATGCACTCTTTCAAAATAATTCTGCGCTATTTCGATGCTGCTTTGTAATGTGAACATGCTATTTTGAGTTATTTTGAAATAATTTCCTAGTGTAGAAACACCCTAAGGGACTTATGCAATTGTAAGACCCCCGGAGTGACAATGAGCTTGTAAATTTAAGCCCTGAAGGCAAAAGCTCAGAAGTATACTGGTTAACCTAAGGGGCAATAATTTTTTAAGGGGGCCACTTCGTGAATTTCAGAAGTGGTTGAGGGCCATACTGGAAGGGGCAGAGCCTTGGGCAGAAGGGGCATCGCCAGGAGACTTTACGTGATTAACCTGGGGGAGGGGGGGAGCACGTGAAGTCTTTGCTTCCTGTCCCCATCCTCAGGTTTCAATTGGTGGGGGAGTGGCAGAGCAGCTGCAGGCTGGATCTGGCCTGCGGAAGCTGTCTTGTCCACCCCTAGAGGACAGAGTCTGGGACAGGGTTGTAACCTTGGGCAATAGTGCAGGAAGGGGTGCAATGTCTGGGAAGATGTATGGGGGCTAAAGGAGGGGTGCAGAAGGGTTGGGTTACATGGGGTAGAAGAGCAGGTAGAGGGTTGGCGAGCAAGGAGCTGGGATGCCAGAGGCAGGCTCTGGCTGGGAAACTTTACCTGGGTGGCTCCCATCCAGCAGCACAGCCGATTTCTTAATCAGGGTCTCTGCCTTCCAGGTCCCTGTATTGCTCACAGCAGCTAGAGGGGCCATATGAGATCAGGGGATGAGGGGGAGGAGCACTTCACATGCTGTCTGTCCTGCCACCAGGCAGTTGCAATTGTCCAGAAGCTGGCTAATGGGAGCTACGGGTGGAGGGGGTGGAGGGGAGCACTGTGAGAAGCCTCAGGGTCTCAGAATTCAAAGCAGCATATGGGCCCGCAGCAGCCAGCTTCACTGAGTGCCAAACAGGGACGGGGCAGACAAGATGCCAGCTGAGGCTGTCGCAAGCCAGATCTGGCTTGCAGATCATATTTTGCCCAGCTCTAGCTTAACCCCTCCCATTCACTGCTTGGCCCTTGTACCAGGGACTCCTGTGGTTAAAAAACAAAAAATTACTATTATCTAACCACTATTGTTCAAGATGTTTTGCACATGTCCACTCCATCCAAGTGATCTGCATTGACCATCATGGGGTTAACAAATGGACCTGTTTAGTCCTGTCAGCGTAGAATGCCAAAGCTTTTCTAACATCCAGGCTGTGTCTACATTGGCGCGATCTTGCGCCAAAGCACCTGCTTTGGCGCAAAAACATGCTGCCTGTCTACACTGGCGGGGAGTTCTTGCCCAAGAACACTGATGTTCTAATGTATGAAATCAGTGCTTCTTGCGCAAGAACTATGATGCTCCCGCTCAGGAATAAGCCGTCTTGCACAACTGTTCTTGAGCAAGAGGCCAGTGTAGACAGGCAACACGAATTTCTTGCACAAGAAAGCCCGATGGCTAAAATGGCCATCAGAGCTTTCTTACACAAGAGAGCATCTACACTGACACGGATGCTCTTGCGCAAAAGCACATGCCAGTGTAGACGCTCTCTTGCAAGAGTTCTTGTGTTAAAGTATTTGCGCATTAAAGAGTATTTGCGCAAGATCATGCCAATGTAGACATAGCCCCAATGTATGTTGATATTGTCACCTCTCTATTGTCATATGGTTTGAGGAACAAGTAAATCAACTGTTCAGTATGAAAATTAGTACCACATTATAATGGAATCTGATGATAGCACAAATATATTTTATCCTTACAAGGGAGTTCAGATGTCAGAGCACTTCCCCACCCCCAACCAAAATTGTGATTAATAAGAAAGCCACTTTCAGTAATAGAAACAGCAAGGAGCATGTTGCTAATGGTTTAAAACAGAGCCCCATGTACTTCCACAAAACTAAGACAAAGTCTCAAGGGGAGGGTAGACAGATTCCTTTAGCTAAGGTTATAATCTTTCCTGGCCTTTAAAAAAACGTGACTATTGTACTGTTAGGAAAAATACATGAATGGTTGTCCCCTGGGATGGAAAGCTGATACTGCTGACAAGCAGATCTGGAAAGCCAACCACTGCTGATTTACATGTAACAGTCTAAGATAACAGTTCCCAACTGCTGGTCCGCAAAATGCTGGCTGCCAGGCCAGGGTGGCCAAGGCAGGGTACACTGCCCAGCGCCTCTCCCCCTGCTGTGGCTGTGGGAAGAGGCATGGACTGCCCTGCCTCTCAGCCAAACAGCACCAGGCAGGGTCTCCTCTTGGATGTGGAAGAGGGTTCGCTGTGTGGCACAATGGCCACGTGGAGCCTGGCACGGCAGTCTTAGAGCAGCCATGACCTGGGAAGCAGCACTCAGCTGGCAGACAGCACAGAGCTAAATGAGGGGGGCAGGGCAGGCTCTGGGGGCAAAGCTAGTGCTGGGGGTGGGGGCTCTGGTGGTGGGAGGCTCTAAGAGGCAGGGGGCTGGCACAGGGGAAAGAAGCAAATACACATAAGTTTCCTACAGCAGCGCGGTTGCAGCAGTACAGCTGAGCTGCTGTAAGGACCGTAGGGGCCTGCACTAGAGAGTCATGTGGCTGTAACTAGCTGGCTGGGGTATGAATTTCCTGACTAATGCAGTTATACTAACTCAGTGGTTCCCAGCCTTTTTTATTCTGCAGATCGCCAAATCCATTCCCAAGCCTTTGGTGGACTGGCATCATTTTATTTGCATACTTGCATAATGAATATACAGCTCTGCAAATAAAATGATGCTAGTCCACCAACAGTTTGTGAATGGGATTGCTGGTCCATGGTATAAATAGAAGTTGGGAACCACTGGTCTAGCTTTCTACTAACAAAAACAAAACAAAAAAAACCTGCAAACTTTTTCTGAGCAAGTCTCCTTAGGATTTACTAGTGGATCCTCCAAGTTGTTAAATGAAGCTTCCGCACCTTCAGGAAAGTAGCTAAGATCTTGGGATTTTAAGTCTAAGTCCAAGGGAAACAAAACTGTAACCTTGCCTAACCATTCAGTAGAGTGGAGAATTACTGCTACTGGAACCATCAGTATAATGCCAGCATGGTTCTATTTAATCTTTACCACCACACTATGTAGGAGTGGGATGGGCAGGGAGAGGTGGTGAAATATAGCAGAGCTTGTTCAATCAGGGCAGAAGGAAAGCCTCAGAACTGAAACTGTGACCCTGTAGGGAGCAATAATGATGGCATTTCCTGATGGCTTTGATCCCCCATTGCTGGAAAAACCCATCTGGATACATCGTGTAGTGAAACCCCACTCTGTGTATGTCTACACTGCAGAGTTTTTCTGGAAAAACAATACTTACGCCCACATTGCTATTGCATTCTTTTGACAAAGTCGAAAGAACAGAGGGGGTTTTTCCCCCCACTAGTGATAAACCTCATACTACAAAGAAGCAGCCTTTTTCCAAAAAAGCTTTTTTGGAAAAAGGCATATGTGGACGTAGAAGAGAGTATTTTTTCGAAAGACACCTCCAGGAAAAAGCACAGGTGCCCTGGTGGCCACTCCGTCCACAGTAATCCCAACTGAAATGTACGACAGCATCCAATGAATGTGGACACTAGCTTTCGAAAAAGCAGATGGCTTTTTTGTTGCGCTTTTGCGGTGTGGACACTCTTTTTTTGGAAGAGCTCTTCTGGGAAAGCTTCTTCCAAAAGAAGGCTGCAGTCTAAACATAGCCTTTGAGAGAACAGGCTTTTCCCCTTCACTTGAGGTATGAATCCAGAATACGAACCCCATAGCACTTCAAGCACCTTGACTATGGGCAGCGCACAAGTACTGACCCAACCCAGGAGACGAAGGGTTTGAAGTAGCCCTTAGCACTGGGAAGTGGAAATGCCAAACTAGGGGTAGAAAATCCCTGTTTAATCAGTTAACTGGTTAAATGCCATGTTTAACGTGTTAACCATTTAAAGGGGGAAGGGAGAGGCACGCTGCTCAGACTGGGCCAGAGCGCCACTCCCCCATGGCACTTCTCAGGGCCCACAATGGACTGACGGGTGACGCTGCTCCAGCCCCTGATGGTTAACTGTGACTGGTAATCATCACCCAGTAAGGCTGATGCTTACTGGATAACCACTCACACATCCCTATCCCAAACCAGGACCAAAAAGAAACAGCCCCTATCTATGCTAAGATAAGTAGGAATTACTATAAAATCTGAAAACTACAGTACATTTTTATCAAAACCCAGAGCATCTACTAAGGCATGCCAAGTAATTCCAATAGCTGTCATGGGCAGTCAGGAGAAACTGAGGAGGCTCTAAGAAGGCTGGACCCTTTATACCAGCATAAAGAGGCATGCAGCAGAGGATGCTTGCATTACCCGGTTGAGTACTCACTGCAGGAAAAAATTCCAACAACTGCAAATGAGACACAGGCACAAGAGGGTGAATACATGTATGCAATCTCTTAAAGAAGGGGGTATACAGTTGGTTATGCTGGTTGTGACAGCAGGAGGGTACTGCCAGGGAAGGGTTATTACAGTTGCTTTGTGTACATTGTTATGGGTACATTTAGACTGCAAGCCTCTTTCGAAAAAGCCTCTTTCAAAAGAGCTCTTTTGAAAGATCATCTAAACATCCACAAGACTCCTGAAAAAGCGATCTGCTTTTTTGAAAGAGAACACTCAGGCAACCTGAATGCTCCCTTTCGAACAAGCCTTGTTTGCATTCAAGAACCCCTTTTTTCAAAAAAGACCTTCTTCATAAAATGAGGTTTACCGCTGTTGAAAAAACCCATTGCATTCCTTCGATTCAATTTCAAAAGAACATGACAGCAGCCTAGATGCAGGTGAAGATTTTTGAAAAAAGGCAACTTTTTTTGAAAAAAAGCTGTGTAGTCTAGACATAGTCTATGCTAGCACAAAGTGGACATAACACAAGCGTTTCTGAACTTTTTTATAGATTGTCTAGCAAACTGAGCACTGTCAACAAATAAATCAAGTGAACTCATAACAGTATAGTAGCTCAGGCCGTTTTAAACGTAATAATGGAAGAGACTTCTAACTTTCATTGTTTTCTTTTTTGGAAGTTACATCACTTTTATTTGTGAGGAACATCACCCACACTGCACATTTTCATATAGATCTTACAAAGGAAAGCAGAAATTTCTCCTCCACATATCCTGAAATTAAGCAGGACTGGCACAAAAAACCCAAAAAAATCCCTTATCACACATGGGAGGTTTTAGCACCAGCATCCAGTAGAAAAGCTTTTGACTTAAAATTTCACTTCTTTGGTTGGGTTCCCCCCTCCTCTTTTCTTAGTTTGGTACCAGAAGAAAAACTGGAGGAGGAAAAATACAATTAAGAATTGGTAAAATTTTAAAAAACCCCACAGTTGCCATGGAAGCTGGGGAAGTCGCTGTGACTCTCACTCTTTTTCTATGCATCTGTTGCAGGCGTTCCCTGGATCTCGGTTGCTGGTATGATTTTTTTTTCTAATTTCTCTTAAGTTCCGATGTTTCAGATCTTCCTTGTTTTTGTCACTTGTTTTCATTTTATTGCTTGGATCTTTCTTTGGTGTTAATTTTATAATTACACTTTAGGACACCTGTAGAAAAGGTCAAATCAAATAAGTGATTTCTTTATTTAATTCTTCAAATACTCGCCACTCCATTAACTTCTAGGTCTTTGTGCTCATTTTAAACTAAGTCTGTAGCTACAACAGCAGGAAATATAGTATAAAAATAATAAGCCGGTAAGATTGTTGGCTCTATGCACAGCTATTATCCACGCACAACATGGATATTAGCTGTGGCCAGTCACGGTGTGCTGTTCTTCTCAGCAACCATGCCTGGCTTGGCACATGACTGACTACTTGTAAACAGTTACGTCACTTATTTTGCAATGCAGAAAGACAGCCACTTCCTGACAATGCTTTTGTAACTGGCTGGTTGGTCCACCTTCCTCCAAGATCTTTGACTAGGTAGCCATTCTGGAACATTCTGCACTTCAAGCTGCTGGTGCTGCTCTACATGCATGTTGTAGTAAAATGAAAGCCTAAAACATAAGCCCATGGAGCACAGGCCTGGTCTGAGGCCTTAGGCCTTGCTAACAATGGACAAAACATGGCTAACACAAAGCAAAGCTAAGCTGTGAGCAAGAGGCAGGCCCCAGCTCACAGAACTTGGCACAAACAGGGCTGAGACTGCAAAACATTATGACTGCTACTGGTCATAAGTGGAAAGCACATGGTATCACTAGCTCATTAAAAAGACCTTACCCACTCTTCACAGATACAGACTCAGGTTCAGGAAAGGGTCTAAAATGACAGCATGCTGGATAGAGATGATCTAATCAAATCACGAGGTACAGGGTGATGGGTGGCATCTAAGTAGCGTCAGAGGATGGTAACCTGACATCAGCAGTCAGATGTGACTTCTTGTACCTATATATAAGGTGGTGTCTTGGGGGGACAGCCTTTGAATGACCTAGAGGGCAGTGGGACCTCCCACTGATTGAGTTATTCCATTGTGGCAAGTAAATATGTGTAGTGGTTCAGTAGTATTCTGACAACTCTTATTGTACTTCACTCTAAAATAGATCTGTCCTGGCACCTTCGATCCTTATCTGGTTTGTGGTCTTTAGGCCTGGCACCTTCGATCCTGATCTGGTTTGTGATCTTTGGGGGCTCTCTGGGGGTCTGCTGTGGAGATTAAGTGTACAAGTCGATATAGTGCACATCACTGAGCTCACATACAAGCAGCCTTCTGGTTATCATCATCAATGGAGCCAGAGACCTGTGAAGACACCTCGGCAGTAAATCCCAACTCCCGCCTTGAATAACTACATGTCTGCTAGGCACTCTGTCCCCTGCCGAGGTGCTATGGGAGGCTACCAGATATTCCCAGAATTCACCAACACAAATACAGTGAGGCAGTGTTGTCATTCACACATGGCTGTGTTGTGAAAGTGCTGTTGTGAGAGTTGACACAAACACAGCAGACACAAAATGCTTAGGTTTGTTTCTGCTGTGTATTAGTAATACAGATACTGTTGAGTCTGTTTTATGTATAGCATCTATAAACAGTCTGATGGAAAACTGACTGTATTGTGATAATAACACTGTTCCAATAAAACAGTTTGATACTACTGGTGTGGACAGGAAGAAAAGCCTATCCTCATGGTATACAATTATGGTTCAGGCCTTTAAGTGTTCGAAATCCTAATCCATCAATTCCTTTGATATCAGAGGAGTTAGGCTGAGCTTTTAACTCAAAGTTGAGCCCTCAGAAAAAATTCCTGGATTCCTCCAGATTATCCCAAAATAGTTAAGTCTCTCAGCTCCTATTCCTGATGTCTGCTCTTCCTTCTACACTCAAGTCTTATAGGAGTTTATGGGCAGGCCCCACAGCACAGAAAAATACATTTTAGGAAGGAAAAATGGGGATGAGTTGCCTGAACTTCTAATGTCAAGGAAAGGAAGTCTCTACCTGGAGACAGCTCTGGGATTGGGGCCGAGGATCTCTCACACACAGCTAAGGAACTAATGAAGATTTCAAAATAATTTCTGCGCTATGGAATATAATTGTGCTATTCTGCATAAGGGAAGTTGCCGGACATTCCACTGACTGGCCATCAGGTGGTACTATTACATATCTGATTTATTACATGCTTTCAGGCAAGCGGTTCCCAACCTTTTCCAGATGGGGACCCATTTTGATAATTCAGGAAGACTTGGTGACCCAAGGCAATTCAAATACAGGGGAAGGAGGGAGGACAGAGCCACCTGAGTAAACAGTTGGGGATTCTTTTGAAATGTAATGGCAACCCATATTTGGGTTCCAACCCATAGGTTGGGAAACCCTGCTTTAAGGAAAGGGAGAGGTTTTTTTTTCTTCTTTCAGAAAAAGCCACATTTTTTGCAAATATTTGTTTCCTGAGAGACTACCATATGGATACAGATAAAGAAAGGAAGAAATACAAGGAGGAAGGAGTAATAAAGGAGGATTCCTGATTTGTACGGAGAAGGTAGGGCAATCCACTAGTTATATAAGGTGTCGGTACACAAATGCAAGAAGCCTGGGAAACAAACAGGAAGAATTAAAGTCCTGGCACAGTCAAAGAACTATGATTGGACTGGAACAACAGAGACTTGGTGAGTTGACTCACATGACTGGAGCACTGTCATAGAATGGTATAAACTGTTCAGGAAGGGCAGACGGGGAGAAAAGGAGGAGTTGCACTGTATGTAAGAGCAGTATGATTGCTCAGAACTCCAGTATATAGAGGGAGAAAAGCCTGTTGAGAGTCTTTAGGTTAAGTTTAGAGGCAAGAGCAACAGAGGTAATGTTCTGGTTGGTGTTTGCTATTGACCACAGATCAGGAGGATGAGATAGATGAGGCTTTCTTCAGACAACTAAGATAAGCTTCTAGATCACAGGCTCTGGTTCTCATGGGGGACTTTAATCACCCTGACATCTGCTGGGAGACCAATATAGCAGTAAACGGACAATCCAGGAAGTTTTTGGAGAATGTTGGGGATAACTTCCTGATACAAGTGCTGAAGGAACCAACCAGGGGCCATGTGAGCAGCAGGTCAGGCTGTGCAAACAGGGAGGAACTAGTAGGCAAAGTAGATGTGGGTGGCAACCTGGCAGCAGTGACCACGAGATGGTAGATTTCAGGATACTGACAAAAGGAAGAAAGGGGAGCAGCAAATACACACCAGGGATTTCAGAAAAACAAACTTTGACTCCCTCAGAAAACTGATGGGCATGATCCCTCAGGATGCTTACATGAAGTGGCAAGGAGTCCAGGAGAACTGGCAGTATTTTAAAGAAGCCTTATTGAATGCATAGGAACAAATCATCCTGAAGAGCAGTAAGAAAAACAAATATGGCAGGCGACCAGCTTGGCTTAGCAGAGAAATCCTTGGTGAGCTTAAACACAAAAAGGAAGGCTACAAGAAGTGGACATTTGGACAGATGAGTAGAGAGGAGTATAAATATATTGTTCAAGAATGCAGGGGTATAATCAGAAAGAGCAAAGCACAATTGGAATTGCAGCTAGCAAGGGACATGAAGGGTAACAAGAAAGGTTTCTACAGGCATATTAGCAATAAGAGGGTGATCAGGGAGGGTGTGGGGCCCTTACTGGATGAGGGAGGTAACCTAAAGAGAGAAGATGTGGGAAAAGCTGAAGTACTTGCCTCTGTCTTCACAGACAAGGTCAGCTCGCAGAATGCTGCACTAAGCAGCAAAGTATGGGAAGGAGGTGAGCAGCCCTCAGTGGAGAAAGAACAGGAAGTACTATTTAGAAAAGCTAGGCATACACAAATCCATGGGTCTGGATTTAGTGCATTCGAGGGTACTGAGGGAGTTGGCAAATGTCATTGCAGAGCCTTTGGTGATTATCTTTTAAAAACTCATGAAGATCAGGAGAGGTCCCAGATGATTGGAAAAAGTCAAAGGCAGTGTCCATTTTTAAAAGAGGGAAGAAGGACAATTCAGGGAACTACAGACCAGTCAGCCTTGCCTCAGTCCCCAGAAAAATCATGGAGAGGATCCTCAAGGAAATCATTTTGAAGCACTTGGAAGAGGGGAAGTGATCAGGAATAATCAACATGGATTCACTATGGGCAAGTCACGTCTGACCAATCTGATTAGCTTTTATGATGAGGTAACTGACTCTGCTGACATTGGGAAGTCAGTGGATGTGATATACCTTGACTTTAGCAAGGCTTTTGATACTGTCTCCCACAATATTCTTGCCAGCAAGTGAAGGGAATATGGATTGGATAAATGGTGGAGATGGATAGAAAGCTGGCTAGACTGTTAGGCCCAACCGATAGTGATCAACGGCTCAACGTCTGGTTGGCGGTCGGTTTCTTGCAGAGTGCCCCAAGGATCAGTTCTATGGTCGGTTTTGTTCAACATCTTTATTAATGACCTGGATGAGGGGATGGATTGCACCCTCAGCAAGTTTGCAGAGGACATTAAGCTAGGGGGAGAGGTAGATTCATTGGAGGGCAGGGATAGGGTCCACAGTGACCTAGACAAATTGGAGGATTAGGTCAAAAGAAATCTGATGAGGTTCAACCAGGACAAGTGTAGAGTCCTGCATGCAGGTCAGAAGAATCCCAAGCACTGTTACAGGCTGGGGACCAACTGACTAAGCAACAGTTCAGCAGAAAAGGACATGGGGATTACAGTGGATGAAAACTTGGATATGTGTCAACCGTGTGGCCTTGTAGCCAAGAAGGTTAATGGCATATTAGGGTTTATTAGGAGGATCATTTCCAGCAGATCTAAAGAAGTGATTATTACCCTTTATTCAGCATCGGTGAGGCCACATCTGGAGTATTGTGTCCAGTTCTGGGCTCCCCACTATAGAAAGGATGTGGATGCATTGGAGAGAGTCTAGCGGAGGGCAAGCAAAATGATTAGGGGGCTGGAGCACATGACCTACGAGGAGAGGCTGAGGGATTTGGGCTTATCTGGTCTGTAGAAAAGAAGAGTGAGGGAGGATTTGATAGCAGCCTTCAACTTCCTGAAGTGAAGTTCCAGAAAAGATGAAGCAATGCTGTTCTCAGTAGTGATGGATGGCAGAACAAGGAGCAATAGTCTCAAGTTGCAGTGGGGGAGGTCTAGGTTGGATATTAGGAAAAACTATTTCACTAGGCGGGTGGTGAAGCACTGCAATGAGTTACCTAGGCAGGTGGGGGAATCTCCATCCCTAGATGTTTTTAAGCCCTGGCTTGACAAAGCCCTGGCTGGAATGATTTAGTTGAGGTCCTGTTTTGGGCAAGGGGGCTGGACTCAGTGACCTCCTGAGTTCTCTCCAGCCCTAAGATTCTATGAAAGCAGCTTGGACTCCTTGAATACCCACTGATGTGGAGCCAGTATCCGAGGTCTCCATGGTTGCCATCACATAACTCCAAATCCCTCTAGCTGTAGTGTCTAAGGCAGTGGTCCTCAACCTTTCGGGGCTGCCGGGCGCCCCACGCCAGGGGCAGCACCACGCATGTGCTGCGCACCCGGGGGGCACTGCATTGGGGCCTGGGACAGGGGCCGCCCATGTGCCGCGCGCCCAGGGCAGGGCTGGCCCAGATCATTTGGCGGGCGCACATAAATGCCCCAGCGGGCACCAGGGCGCCCATGGGCACCACGTTGGGGACCACTGCTCTAAGGGGATGTTGGCAAGTGACTTGTGAGCCTGTCCTGGAGTTAGGTAGCTCTGTCAATGTGCAAAGGGTAAATTAAGAGGGTAGTGGCTCACTAATTATGAGGTTACAGGACAAAGGAAAAAAGTTTAAATGACACTCTGCATTCTCCTATATATATATATATATCTTACCTAATGGGTGTTAAAGGTGCCTTTGGGGCTGGACATCATTCAGCACTGCTCTGCTCAGTCACTGGAGCAGGGTCCTCAGCAGATGTTTCGGCCAACTTGGTCTGAAAAAAGACCCAAAGCTGCAAGCAGTAGCCAAACAATGATTTCCAGCCTCTTCCTCTACTCCGTATTAGAATGAGTAATTCAAGCTCAGAAAATCGCAAGAAAAGGGAATCCTCAAACATTGACCATAATAGAGTATTGCCTTTAGGACACTACTTGATATTCAGATCCAGGATGGAGGGAGATCAGCTGTCTCATGTGGATTGGTGTTAAAGACTCAGAGCCTTTCATTGCTAAGCTTCCTGCTGGGCTCTGCAACTAGGTCACTAGCACTTACTGGTTCACAACAGTCAGGGAATGGGATCAGCACCCTATTTCAAGAGCTAAATGGTTCAGAGAAATGGGGAAAAGCAACAGAGTTCCATCACCTCAAGGGCACTGGTTCTAGTTCAAGACTGGCAAAGAGTTATTTCCATCTGATGACTGTTTAACATCTGTATTACTTCTCGAGCAACTTTCTAGCGGGACAGGTTGATTATATCAAATACAGCCATCCTTACATTTAGCACCAATTTTGGCAATCACACACCCTGGCCTTTCAGCACAGGTTTAAGCACATGAGCAGCACAGGAGGGAAACTAAGACAGCTCTCTAACCCTTAGGTGTACACACTGGTAGCACCAGTCCCAAAACCCAAATCTACCCTCTCCCCACTGCCAGAGATGTTCTCACCTCTTTGCCATCTTGAGAAGGAGCATTAGGTGGGCGGGGTCGGCGCCGATAGTTATATGGGCGTCGGTAACCACGGCGAGCTGGCTGCTGGCTCACAGCAGTAGCCTCTTGTTGATTCTCCTTGTTTTCAGCCTCTCCAACCACTGGTGCAGGACGTGGACGTGGGGGACCCCTGAAGAGGGGCGATACAGAGAAAACAGGAAAAAAAATAAATGTACAAAACTGCTACCAGAAGAACCTACCCAGGTGACAAGAATCATCTCAAAGCAAATTTCCTTTGAACTTAGCAGGCCAAACTCACAATGAAGTGTGAAGTTAAAACACAACTATTCCAGATTCTTATTCCACAATAAGAGTGCCTTTCAGCTAAACTACACAAAACACTTGGAAGTGGATTAAGCTTTAAAAAACAACCCACACATGAAGGTACTCTGCGTGAAGTAAGTGTCCACACAATGAAACTGTTGTGGAATAGTGGAAAAGCTATTTTAATGCAACCAAGTCCCTAATCTTAAGGTCCTTCCTCAAACCTTGCCAACTCTCAAGTCCCTGAAGAAAATGTCTGAACAGCAGGATAATGCCCTGATTAAAATCAAGACTCCAATTGTCCTTACAGATCTTGAAAGGTAAGACTTCAAGTGGTCGATCTACACTGCAAACAAAATTAAAAACAATTAGGCTGGAGCCTAATTCTGAAACCCAGCACAGGTGGAGGGTCTTAGAAGAACAAACTCCAGCCTGATTGAGAACATCTACACTCCCTTTTAATAGGCCCCACAGCAGTTGGCCCAGACTCCAGGACTTGCAGTTATGTTTTGCTTTGGGTTTTTACTGCAGCATAGATACATAGAACACAAAGTGAGACAAATTTCAGGATGTTGCCAATTATTGAGGCACCCGAAACTAGGGAAGAGGATAGGGAATCAGATACCCTATTCTTGGTCAGTAGTGGTTTGAAAGGCACATACCTGCGATAGCGTGCACGATAAGAGGGATTCCGATGGACTTGCTGATGAAGTTGTGCTCCTTCTGGGACCACATCCTTGATCTCCCCATCACCACCCTAAGACAAAAGCAAAAAGATGGATGTGTGGGGAATTGATGGAGAATCTCTAAACTACAATAGATTAGAGTAAAAGACACACTAGTCCTTCCTCTTCTGATCATGAGACAAGAGGGGAATGTGATAAAATTAAACAGACAGTAAATTTAGAGCAAATCAAAGGCAGTGTAACTTCATGGTACATAAGGTGATCCCATGGAATTCTCTGCTCCAGGACAGAAGATGAAATGGGGATTGTATCAAAGTGGGGATTGTGTTCACTTGGTTTGGTTTGTTATGTTGCATATGATTTCTACAGTCTGTAGTAACCCAGTGAGTCTGCCTCAGGGAAGATAGACAAAGGGAGAGGCAGGACTGCCTGCCAGCTGTTATTAGCTACTGAATATGTGGGTGCTCTCAGAAGGCTTGAAGCAAGAAGGGGAGACCAGAGCCCAGGCCCCTTCTCCCAAGATGGATTGTGATGACTGCTCCTGGTTCCTCCGCTAACAAAAAGTCTGTGCTATGCTTTATCCCTGTGAACCAAGAAGAACATAAGAACTGCTGTACTGATTCAGACCAACGGTTCACTTCGTCCAGTATCCAGTCTGTGGACAGTGGTCAATACCAGATGCCCCAGAGTGAGGGAATGCAACAGGTAGTTCTCACATGATCCCTCCTGTGTCATCCATTTCCAAACAAAGGCTAAAAACACCATTCTTACCTATCCTGGCTAATAGCCATTGATGGACCTAACCTCCATGAATCTAGCTAGCTCATTTTTGAACCCTGTTAAAAGTCCTAGCCTTCACTACATCCTCTGTCAAGGAGTTCCACAGGCTGACTGTGTACAGAGTGAAAAAAAACTTCCTTTTGTTTGTTTTAAACCTGCTGCCTATTAATTTCCCTTTTCTAAGATGAAAAGTCTGAGTCTTTTTAGTCTCTCTTCATATGGAACCCATTCCAAAGCCCTAATAATTTTGTTGACCTTTTCTGAACCTTTTCCATTGCCAATATATCCTTTTTGAGATAAGGAGACCACTTCTGTACACAGTATTCAAGATGTGGGCATATATAGAGGCAACAAGATATTTTATTTTATTCTCTATCCCCTTTAATGATTCCTAGCATTCTATTTTCTTTTTTGACTGCCACTGAATATTGAATGGATGTTTTCAGAGAACTATCCACAATTACTCCAAGATTTGTTTTGAGGAGTTGTAGTCTTCTGTTCTACCTGCTGGCTGAGAATCATCTCGCTGCCAATTGGGGTGCAGGGCCCCACAATATCCATCACCACCTTCTGGAAAGGCTCTTCTATGATGGGCCGGGGCCTCAGGGCAGCTCTCTCATGCCGGGTTTTCCCCACCTGCTGGCAGGAGTCACAGGACCAGCAGTACCATTGGACAGCAGCCAAGACCTTAGGCCAGTAAAAATCCTGTAGCAGCCTCTTCCTAGTGTGCTGGATCCCCTGGGATCCTGAGAACGGAATACATCCTGCGTGTGGTAGATTAAGCTATTCGCTACCTTGAGGCCATGGCTCTGTCCTTTATCGAGGCAGACACTGTGGCAGATGCGCTGTTGGCCATTTTCAGCAGGGTGGGGTTCCTCAAGTACGTCCTCACAGACCAGGGGTCCAATTTCATGTCAGCCCTTCTCTGGTGGTTGTGGGAGAAATGTGGAGTCGGTACACCTGGGCTTCAGCATATCACCACCAGTCCAACAACTAGTGAAGAGCAGCGTTCCCTCTGAGATTTTCCATCCATGAGCGGAGTGAGTTTTGTTTTGTGCCCCAACAATGAGGTCATATGTGCTTGTTTGGATGTGTGCCTCTGTGGCACCCACTAGTGGTGCTGCTCCTCAGTGCTATGAAAATGTGTGTGTTTTTACCACAGAGTAACTTAGGGTATGCCTACACTACAGAGGTGTTTTTTTTTTTTTTTTGAAAAAACAGCCATTTTCCCAAAAAACCTGAGTTACTTCCACATTGCAATTGTGTTCTTTTGAAAGAAAACTGAAAGACCAGAGGGGTTTTTCCGACATTGATAATTGTCACTCTGAGGAAGAAGCCTTCTTCCAAAAGAGCTATTTCGGAAAAAGGTGTGGGGTCAGGGACAAGGGAGTTTTCGCAAGAAGAGGAAAGAGGAAAAAGCACGTGTGTCCATTCTGCCCATATTAATCACAGATACATGCGAGATAGCATCCACACTGAATGGACGCTATCTTTCAAAAAAAGCAGATCACTTTTTCAATGTACTTTTGCAGTGTGGATGCTCTTTCGGAAGAAGTTTTTCCAGAAGATCTTTTCCTGCAGTCCCTTCCAATCTGGCCCGTGGCGGAGTCTGATGGGCAGCAATGAGCAGCAGCAAGCACGGCTTGGACAGTGACTTTCCGGGAAGGGCAGAAAGTTGAAACAAGCATGAGAGGAGAAGACTGTGCAGCTGCTAAGGTGTCTGCAGACAGCTCCTACTTCCGCCTAGCAACAGGTCCCAGCCCATCCTCACCCGGCCCGGGGCACCTGGCACTATGCTGCTGCCCCACTCACCACACTTCATCTCTAAGTGGGGCCACAGGTCACCCACTATGTGGCTCTGGCCCCAGCTGGGCCACTGGAGCAGCTACCACCTGCCATGCGACTTGCAGCTCCAGGCCTGGGGACGTCCAGGGCCATGTAGTGGCTGCCTTGCTGCTCTTGGGGCAGGGTAGCCACCCACCATTTTGCCAAATTCTTGGTGTGCACCCACAGTGTCACGCACCTTAAAGGGAACACTGTTTGAGAGATTCAATGGGACACTAAAGCAGATGCTAAAACCTTTATGCACCAGCCACCCCAGGATTGGGACAAGTACTTACCCCACCTGCTGTTTGCAAGAGAGGTGCCCTAAGAGTCCACAGGATTCTCCCCATTTGAATTATTGTATGGGAGAAGAATGAGGGACAGGGTTTCCTAAGGTGTGCGGTTGCCCCACCCCGGAGCATCCCTGGCCCTAGCTTCATCTCTTATCCAGGGCTGGAGCTGTGGGCTGTGTGGCAGACAGCCGCTACTTAAGCAGCCCCAGCCAGGGCCAGAGGTGGAACACACATCACGAGCAACCTATGGCTACTGCAGTGGCCCCAGCCAGGGCCAGAGCCCGAGCCCGAGCCAACGCTGCCATCAGGTGGAGCCAGCAGGCCCAGCAGCCACTTGCCACGGGACCCACCCTGGGAGCAACCAGCTGGAGCTGGGGCCAGGGTCACATGGTGGCTACCCAGCCTCTCCTGGGGCAGACCACATGGCGTCTGTCAGAGCTGGAGCCGCAAAAAGGGGTGCACTGCTCCTGGGTTGGGGGTGTGCGGCTAGGGATGTCAGATGTAGAGTGGCCATTGGAGGAGTTGCATTCTCCCCACCCTGCAGGCAGAAGGCGCTGGGCAACACGAGAACAAGTTGAGGCATTAGTGGTGACAGGGGGCTGGCCAGTGGATTGGGCATGGTTGGTGGTGCTGAGCAGGAAGAACAAGGCTAAGAACCAACAGGACCCTGTGGAGCGAGGCAGGGAGGTGACCCAGCTCAACTTGGTCACGTACATCATGGGCAGCCAGCACATCCAGACACAATAGTCCAAGCTGCTGCCCTGCCTGCACCTGTTCTGCCTGCGCTGTCTGCCACAGCCTGATAGCTACTTCATGCCACCCCTACCCACCATGCCTCATCCCCCTTCCCAAGCAACTCCAAGGAACTGCAGCCTCCTGCGCCCCCTTCCTCACTGGTCCCTTGGCCAACCTCACCCCTGCACTGCACACGGGGTAAGTTGTCTGTAATGGCACATGCTTTTTATTGTTAAGATCCATCTGATCTCTGGGATATTTTGAGGAAATTGCTACATACAGTAGCAGAAATCTCGTATTATGCCAGTCATTTAACCAAAAAATGAGGAAGAACTGTTTAAAAATTTAAAAAGTTTTTTAAAAAATGCAACAAAAATGCCTTTCTGTAATAATGTGGGTAGGTCTCTTATTGGAATGCTTAGTCTATGAATATATTGAGTTCAATAGGCTATTAGAAAGTGCTGGAGGTGGGGGAACAGGGAGCCATCCCTCAGCAGATGAGGATTGGTAAGGGATAGCATCACAACTATTTGCTCTGAATATTTTACTTCACCATCCTGCAAAACTAGACTGACCCACAAGAAAGGGGGGGGCTTGTGACTATATGGCAGATATTCGTGTTTATTTAAAGGCAGCAGCTCATTATCAGGAATTAATCCTTAGACACGTTTTCTATCACTGACTTACATATATACTAAGTTCTCTCTATGCTCAGGCTGCTCTGCAGGAGCTGGAGCTCTGGCTGTTTTCCCCTCCCACCTTTCACTGCCTTCTGGCTCTGAGCCCCCTGTCCCCTTCAGCCCCCTGCCAGCTTCCCCCCTCTGGCTTCCCACATTGCTGTCCAAGCCCCCCATTCCCTGGGTGTTGGAAGAGTCTCTCAAAGAGTAGCACCACTAATGGGTGGCACATATCCAAACAAGTGCCCATGACCTCAATATTGGTGCACAAGACAAAACTCACTCCACTTATGGATGGAAAATCTTAGAGGGCACACTGGCCATGACTTGTTTACCTTCAGATTCCCTACCTGTGAAATGGGTACAGAAATCGTCATGATCTCACTGTTGGTACACAAGACAAAACTCCCTCTGCTCATGGATAGAAAATCTTAGAGGGAACCCCTGGTCTTGCTGAGGGATGAATGGGAGGGAGAGGCCTCCCCAGATGGAGAATCAGGGTACTGGCTTTCTGAGAAAAGCTCACAGAGGCTCATGGGCCTGGCCAGAGAGAACTTAGGCAGAGCCCAAGGGACGCAGGTGGTCTGGTACGACCACAATGCACAGGCCCGTACCTACGACACAGGGGACCAGCTGATGGTTCTCATTCCTATGCAGAAGAACAAGCTGGAAGCAGCCTGGGACAGGTGCTTTGAGGTCATCAAGCAGCTGAATGAGGTGAAATGTGGTGTTACTGTCCAATTGGGTGTCCAGTGGGAGCAC